CATGTTTTTTCCACGAAATTTAGTGTTTATACTAATTGGACCATGAGGAATCGATCTAGATAGTTTTCGACAGCAAAATTCCTTGTCCTAAGGGTCGTTTTCATAAAAGGGCGACAGTGAAAATGTCGCCTTTATAAGGTGTATCGCCCTATTGTGGACGGAGTTCGCAAAATCTGTCGCCCTATTACAGTAATAGTAGTAATAACTGTATTTATATAGCGCTTTTTGCCAGAGGATACAAAGCGCTGGGGGAGAATGCTACCAAAGCGTAAATGAAGTATATGAACATTATGAGACCCATTATGTAGAACTTTTTTGCTAGGTGCTGCGGCGCATAATTGCTGCCACAAACCAGTCCCTGCGTCGCGTAAACACCGGATGAGTATTTTGAAACTCCCGCTCTCCGGTTATCACCAATCTAAGGCCCGCTGGCGAGGTATGTGTTGATAAGTTGTAACCCACCCATCACCGCAACCCAGCAGTGGAACTGATGTTACTCCCTATATGCGTATTGAATTTCCAAAAAAGAAAAAAAAACCTAAACAAGGGCAGTTTAGTCTTATACTTACACAGGTATCCATACCAGTGCTTCTAAGTCTTAAATAAACGGAAATCTTCCCTAGCTGGTTGCAAATACAATGTTTTCAAAAAGATTCATCAGCTCGCAGAGCCCCTCGTACTCCAATTTTATCATACATCCCATAAAAAGAAAAGAATGAGGAACGGCCCTGCTGATTCTGATAGCAAATCCCATCCTCCTCCCTTGTTTTAAACCCTTATTCACGGCGGCAACTTTCTTGAAATGACTTTGGAACTTTCCAACAAGTTATTAGTATCAACAGATTGTTCCCTGAATTTTGCTCGCACAAAACCGGTTCTTCCTTGCTATTTTCCTAGCCAGACAACCACTTCTTTTTAAGAAAAAACACAAGTCTGATAAAAACTTTAATGCATGGTGACGGCCAAACTCCATTCCATTTAACTTAAAATGTAGTGGCGAAATGTATGATTACACCCCTTTCTATTAAACACATGTACATGAAGAATGAAGGCGCCACCTATTGCCAAGAAAGATACAGTACGACGCGACGGCACGATGCGACGGGCGACGGCACGACGCGACGGGCGACGGCACGACGCGACGGGCAATGTGTGCGTCGCCTCTTCAAGCAGTCTACTTAGAGGCGCCGAGGTAACAGGCGACGGCACGACGCGACGGGCTACGGCACGACGCGACGGACGACGGCACGACGCGACGCACGACGGGACGACGCGACGTGTGAAGGTACGTCGCTTCCTCTTGCAGTGTACGTGCTTAGAAACGGTAATTTAAGAGGCGACGGCACGACGCGACGGGCGACGGCACGACGCGACGCCACGACGCGACGGGCGACAGCACGACGCAACGGACGACGGCACGACGCGACGGTACGACGCGACGGCACGACGTGAAAGCACGACGCGACGCAGATTTGGCGTCTATAGAACACCATAATAAAGGACACCTATCTGTTATCGTCGTGCGTGTGGGGAGCTCCGTCGTGCCTGTGAGCAGGTCCGTCGTGTTTGTGAGCAGACCGTCGTGCGTGTGGGGAGCTCCGTCGTGCCTGTGAACAGGTCCGTCGTGTTTGTGAGCAGACCGTCGTACGTGTGAGTAAAACCGTCGTGCCTGTGAGCAGGTCCGTCGTGTTTGTGAGCAGAGCGTCGTGCGTGTGAGTAAAACCGTCGTGCCTGTGAGCAGGTCCGTCGTGCGTGTGAGGAGGTCCGTCGTGTTTGTGAGTAAAACCGTCGTGCGTGTGAGTAAAGCCGTCGTGTTTGTGAGTAAAACCGTCGTGCGTGTGAGTAAAACCGTCGTGTTTGTAAGTAAAACCGTCGTGCCTGTGAGGAAAAAACGGCGTGCGTGTGAGTAAAACCGTCGTGTTTGTGAGTAAAACCGTCGTGCCTGTGAGTAAAACCGTCGTGTTTGTGAGTAAAACCGTCGTGCGTGTGAGTAAAGCCGTCGTGCCTATGAGGCGCCATGTGTAAATAAATTATTTAACAAAATTATTTATATATAATTCATTATTTATTATATAATTCAGTTTTCCGGACAATTATATGTAAATAATTGTTTGGCAGTTTGCATTATATGTAAATAAATTTATTTGCCACTGCAATATTTATAGATATAATTTTTTTTGCAACCTAATTATTTACATATAATTTTGGGCAAACTAGAATTATTTATATATAATTTATTTGCAAACTTATTATTTATATATAATTTTTGCACACTTTTTTATTTATTTATAATTTATTTGCAACCTTTTTCATTGATATATAATTTATTTGTTACCTCATTATTTATATATAATTTTAACACACTTTAATTATTTATTATATAATTTATTTGGTTACTTATTATTTATATATTTTTTTGCACACTTTCATTATTTATTATATAATGCATTATATAATAATTATTCTCAGACCACACACAAAAACACCTTGAAACAAAAAGTTGACTTTTTGGCATAGTTTTTTCGAGCCCCCATTTTATTTTGTTTTATTCAAATGTTATTAACCCAAACAGTTTGGGCACATTGGCCAGAAATAAAAAACGGGGGCACGTACGTTTGCCCCAAATCCTTGCCATGCTTGGCATCACTGGGCCCAAATCTTGGCACGCTTGCCAATCATTCACTGCGAATATATCCACCGCTAGAATTTTTGTAGAAACTACGGTTGGATACTAATCCCATCAGAACAAATTGGTGTTAGTCACAGTGTAATTTGTCACGTGAATTTACGGTTGAATTTATAATATGCCTAAATTACTTAAGAAAACTTGAAAAATGCCAAAATTTCTTAAGAATAAACTTGAAAAAAGGCACGCCGATTTTTTTCCCACCGTTGGAAAATACGGTTGGAATAAGCCCCACCAGTACTAGAGGGTGCTAGGCGTAGTGTTTCTAAAGATTAAAACGAACTTTGTTTTGGTCAAAATTCAAAATCTTACTTAAGAACTATTTATTTCTTTTGAATTGAGGGACTGCCCGTCGTACCCAGTAACTTCTAGCCCTTAATTAATTTCTTAATGTTGGAGGCGAAGGGGAGGTGGTGGGTTTATTTTCCATGTATAGCGGCTTCGAAAAGCTAAGCCGAAGTGAACTTTCTGAGCCTAATTAATGAACTTGACTTAATACACTGTATCGATATTGCTTCTTTTACCCCTTTGGGCGCGCGATCCATATCATTTTAGCGATATGAACAATTTCTCTGGCCTCAATATGTCACGTCCGCAAATAATTGGGGCGGCCAGGTGTTCCCTGGCCGCGCCCACCGAGTAGGCTACTGTTTACCGCGCACACGTACCCCATGGCAACAACCAGCTGATTGAAGGAAATTACGTGACTGATCAACAGTGTGTGTCTGTGCCGCATGATGCATTTTATCTTGTAGTGATAAAATAATGTGTAGCCCGTGCGGTACGCTGAAGTGCGCCCTCAAGCGGTTATGAGACGCGCGTGTACTGTAACCATGGAAGGCGCCATGTTCGCACATGTTTTGGCGAAATTCCCGCAGTGAAATGCCAAGATTCTTGCTAAAAGTCAACTGTTAGTTTGACATTGATTGAAATCCTACAGCTTGTGGCTCTCAGGTGAGAATAAGTGAAGGATAATGGGATGATTATAACATTTGGGGTGATTTTTGATGATAAGTTGTGTTGATAATTGATGTTGAAATTAACGTTACAGAAACAAATGTGAATTGTTTAAATCGGGAGCCAGTTTTAATGCATCTAGAAGAAATAATTGATCTTGTGACCAATATACCTTTCCGTATTAATGAAACCTCACATACTGGGATGATTCAAATTAAGTGACATGTTGAGTTGTGTTACAAATTGAACAAGTTTAAAGTGTATTGATGCTAGAAGTTGGGTGGATTATTTGATCTACCGTCTGCTTTGACCCCCTAAGATAAATTGCTTTGTGTAGAGACACAAGCCTTTTGTTAAAGGTACATATTTTGCCTTTCTTTTACTCTCAGGTGTACCCTGATATTTTGGGGATTAACATTGATCCGTATTTTTGCTGCCTGGACAGTCACAGTCTGGAACTCTGCTCCACATCTTGAGTGGATCAAGCCGTTGGTGACTGGACTGGCCACATGTGAGTTTACACATGTTACATCTTCACAAGGACAGGAATTACATGTACATGTATGCTGTCTGCATAAGGTGAACTACCGTGGGAGCATCCCTCACAACAGTCTATCTCCAAGCAGGAGGGATCTTGTGAAGGAACCGTTTACTGTGTAGCGTATACAGTGACGTTGAACTGTGGTTTCGCCGGAACTCCACGAAGTGAAGAGAACTGAACTGACTAGTCAATCAACATTTTTGGATTGGGACTTGATAGCCTTAGAGTGACATCAAGAGTCTCAAATATCCTTGTTAGAATATATTTAGGGCCCTAATATTGTCTGTATACCGGTATTTTGTTTTTGTCAGAAAGATAAATGATTGTTTATTTCATAAAGTGTCATTGTTGACCTAAACATTTACATGTAGGCCTACTTAAAGTTTTTCTTGATTATCATCATCAGCGCTGGTGTTATAGATTTTTGATCTAGAGTTCCGTCCAAGTTTTCAAATTAAAGATTTTCTAGTTCAGTACAATTTATAGACTAAGTAGTGGTTTGTTCATTTGTCTGACCCAAGGTGTGTTGACCCCAATGTGGTCCATGTGGCTTACATTTCATGGCGATCTTGCCAGGACCTCGTAGATAAATATTTAAAGGGGCTTGCTCTGTTTCTCTGTTGGAAATAAGCAACAGGGCACACGCATTTTATTCTGGTGTCAGATTGATAGATAGATCACCAACACTACTGTTGCTTTAGAAGGATTATTTTGAGAGCCATAAGCTGAGAATTGGTATTTTTCTTGTGGTAGGTTTTAGCAGAGTGCATTTTTGTTTACGGTTTTTTGTACGCGCGTTGAAATTTTGTGCGAAACATGGCGGACAGTAGCGATATCTTGCAGTTTGGGCGCGATTGGTGCAAGAAAGACGATGTTCGACCGGCTTGCGCTCTTCTTCTTTGCAGTGAGAAACCGTTGTCTTTTTCGACAGAGTCAATTACCAAAGGCCTGGCTAAGAAGGTTAACCGCCTAGTGGGTGTGTCCCGTCAGGAGTGGCGAGGAAAGACCAATCTTCTGTGTGAGTTTGAATGTGAGGTTGGTGAAGTGACCCTCCCTCTTTCAGGCACTTTTAATGTCTCTGTTGACGGCGGGGAAGTGTTTCTGCGAATATACCGTTTGAACACCACTACAAACTTCAAGAGTCGAGTCTTGGTTAAGGATATTATGGAGAATCAGGGTACATCCGAACCCCTGACAAGAGAGACGTCCAGGAGTTCATTGAGCCACGCCATGTCTTTGTGCACTGTTGGCGGACGGAAACTGCGTCCTTTCTCTGGTCTTAAGACTCCAGCCAAGGACGAGGACAGTTTCGATACCTGGATTGAACTTGTGCAGGGGCAACTTGAGGAGGAACCCGAAGATTGTGAGAAGAGGCGACGCTTGAGGGAGGCTCTCCGTCCCCCTGCTGCCAGTATCATCACCGACCTCCGCCGAGAGTGCCCTCAGGCGACAGCTGATGAATACCTTGCTGCTTTGGAGCTAGCATTCGGAAGTACAGAGTCACCGGAGGAGCTGAGCGTTCTCTTTCACTCTACACACCAACATCGTGGTGAATCGCCTTCAGAGTTTCTCACGCGACTACAGGGTATACTGAGGAAATTGGTTCGAAAAGGTGCAGCCCAAAGGGAGAAGTCAAGCTCACTTCTCATTGAGCAGTTTGCAAAGGGGGTGCTCTTCGACGAAATTCTTCTGGTGAATTTGAGGTTGAAGGATCTCAAGAAAAATCCTCCCTCTTACCTGACGTTGCTGCAGATGGTAAGGAGAGAGGAAGCAGAACAACAGGCTAAGATGAGCCGAAGAGGAGAAGGAGATGTGGGTGTGTTCCCGGCAGACCCTAAACAGGCCAAGAGTCGGACGCAAGCTGCTGAGAGACCAATCAAGCGTAAGCAAAATGAAGCACGCCCAAGATTCTGCTACCGGTGTGGTGAAGAGGGCCACTACAAGACAAAATGCGAGAAACCTGAGAACTTGCAGAAGGTAAATGGCCAACTTATTGCTTTCCTGCAGGGAAACGCCAAGGGGCGACTGGAGGGGGCCAGCCAGAAGCCCAAGCCCGTGAATTAAGGCCTGGTGTTAATTACCACACTGGAACTGACATACCTAAGGGACTAGTTGGAGGAGACATGGTAGAGGATTGCTGCATTGATGGGAACTGGGCCAAGTGTTTGTTGGATTCGGGGTCGCAAGTCGCCTTAATATACGAAGGTTTCTTTCGACGCCTGAATAAGCCCTTGTTTCCGATTGAAGATCTAGTGCTTTGGCATGGTGGAGGGGGACAGATACCGTATTTAGGTTGGACCAAGGTGACTATTGGTTTTGATCCAGCATTCTGTGGCACAAGTCGGTCATCCTCCACCCTGGCTTTAGTTGTCCCTGACTGCCGTGGTGCAACACCGTACCAACTAGTTGTGGGTACAAATTCTGGAGCTTTCCGTGGTTGCTACCAACATCTTTTTGACCTGCAGAAAGGGAAAGAGTGCGGTGGCTCTGTCATCAGTGCGGCATGTAGGCGAATCTATGAGGATTTTGAAGTTTCACGGAGGGCAGGACCAGCAGGAAAGGTTGGATTGGTAACATGTCGTACTCGAAATCAGGTGACAGTCCCTGCCAACTCTCAGAAGTACATCTCGGGCACTGTTCGAAATGGATTGGGGAGGCCAGTGACTGTGTTGCTAGATGCTCCTCACCTGCGTAAAATGCCTACCGGTATCAACACTGTTTGCTCTTTAGCACAGATTGGGAATGGTTTCCAAAAGGTGAAGGTCTGCGTGCAGAATCAGACTGATGTGGACCTGCATTTGCAAAGGAACTGTGTTTTGGCTGAAGCATCCCTGCCAGTGTCAGTGAGTAGTGTGCAGCCTGATTTGTGTGGAAGTTCCATCTCCTCAGCAGCGGCACCAGCCCAGATGAGGACGACTAGTGCCACCACTGGCATGAACCCAACCCAGAGACGAGAATCTTCTCAGATTACAGAAAAGGAGTTTAGGAAACTACCATTTGTTTGGGGTCCCATAGACACTCAATGGAGAGACAGAATTCTTAAATTGGCCTATGGTCGATCAGAAATCTTCTCCAGCCATGAGTGGGATGTTGGTTTGACAAACGAAATCCATCATGACATCAGGCTCACTGATGAGTCTCCTTTCCGGGAAAGGTCGCGTCGTGTAGCTCCATCTGATTTGCGGGACTTGCGAGACCATCTTCAGCATCTACTAGACATCGGGGTGATCACAGAGTCCAAAAGCCGATATGCCTCACCCATAGTCATCGTACGAAAGAAGAGCGGACAGATGCGTCTGTGTGTGGACTATCGTACTCTGAACTCCAGAACTGTACCTGATTAGTACGTGGTTCCCATCGTACAGGAGGCTCTGGACTGTTTACATGGGTGCAGGTGGTTTTCTGTGATCGACCTCAAGTCGGGGTACTACCAAATACCGATGAAACCTACCGACAAGGACAAGACAGCTTTCATCTGCCCGGCTGGATTTTTCCAGTTTGAGCGGATGCCTCAGGGTGTCAAAGGGGCGCCGGCCACTTTCCAAAGACTCATGGAAAGATGTATGGCAGGCCTGAACTTGGCAGAGGTACTTGTGTACATGGATGACATCATCATCTTTGCTCCCACTTTAGAGGAGATGGAGAAGCGTTTGGCCAGAGTGTTTGATCGGTTGGCCAAATATGGGCTAAAGATTGCTCCTGAAAAGTGTCAGCTGTGTTGTACATCTGTCAAATATCTTGGACATGTAGTTTCAGAAGAAGGTGTAAGAACAGACCAACAGAAGGTGGAGGCGATCAAGTCATGGCCACCCCCGGCTGATGCAAGACAATTGCGGTCTTTTCTTGGAATGGCTGGATATTATCGCCGATTTATTGATGGATATGCCAAGATTGCCAAACCCTTACATGAGTTGGCCGCTGCGCTACAAAGTAAGAGCTGTCCCAAGCGTCAGACCTGTAGTAAGGATACGAGCAGGGGTTTGAAAGTGGTATTCGCAGAAAGATGGACACCTGAGTGCCAGCAGGCATTTCAGGAGTTAAAGGACAAGCTATGTTCAGCACCAGTTTTGGCCTTTGCGGATATGAGTCGGCCCTTTGTACTGCATGTGGACGCAAGTAGGGATGGTCTTGGTGCCATTCTTTGCCAGGAGTCTGATGGTAAGCTGAGACCAGTTGCTTACGCCAGCCGTGGACTGAATCCGTCGGAGAAAAATTACCCAGCACACAAACTTGAGTTTTTGGCTCTTAAGTGGGCCATCGTAGACAAGTTCAAGGATTACTTGTATGCAGCCAAAGGAACCCGGGTATTCACTGACAATAACCCACTAACATATATCCTTTCGTCTGCCAAGTTGGACGCCACAGGGCATCGGTGGTTGGCAGCTCTAACAACCTACGACTTTACAATCCACTACAAGCCCGGTCGTTGTAACAAAGATGCGGACGCTCTTTCTCGACGACCACACAGTGATGCATTCTTGCAGTCTTCAGAGAGGGATCAGGTAGAAAAGATGCATATCCTGGAGGCACGACTTCAGGGTGAGGTAGAGGAGCCTACACCAACTCTCAGTGAGGAGATGGTTGATGCTATTTCCTCCCAGCATCTCTTGGATGCCTCGGGACGAAATGTTCCGGATACTACTGATGTGGAACCAGGCCCCCTCATCCACTCGATGGCCTTGAGTGCTGAGGCTATCCCTGCCGAATATACAGGTTTTGGTAAGGCAATGACTGTTGAAGGAGATGCTGTAAATTGGGAAAGCGAACAGGCTGTGGATGAACACATCAAGCAGGTTGTAGAATTTGTTCTGGCGGGCAAGAAGCCTAAGCAGATCTCAACCTTGCCTGAGGAAGTTCGGCTGATGTTGGGCCAGTTTTCTCGACTTGTCCTACGAGAGCGAGTATTGTATCGTCGAGTTCTTGATGTAAAGGGGAAAGAGTTGTTCCAGTTGGTACTACCTGTCCATTTCAGAGAGAAGGCTATCATCGGACTCCATAATGACTTGGGTCATTTGGGTGCTGAACGAGTTGTGGCCTTGGCACGTCAACGGTTCTATTGGCCGAAGATGGCGGCTCGCATTGAGAAGTGGGTTTCCAACTGTGCACGATGTGTGTCTTTCAAGACAAACCAAAAAGTGGCTGCTCCCCTGGTAAATATCAAGACGACATATCCCCTGGAATTAGTCTGCATCGATTTCTTAAAGTTGGAACCAGACCGCAGTGGCCACCAGTACATTCTTGTTGCTACTGACCATTTCTCCCGTTATGCACAAGCCTTTCCCACGAAAGACAAATCATCACGCACTGTTGCTAAGATACTTTGGGAGCGATACTTCCTCCACTATGGTCTGCCAAGGCGTATTCACTCAGATCAAGGCCGAGAATTTGACAATAACCTCATCAAAGAGCTTACAAGTCTCTTGGGGATAAAGAAATCACGAACTTCCCCATACCACCCACAAGGGGATCCACAGCCAGAACGGTTCAACCGTACTTTGATAAGCATGCTTGGCACCCTTCCCCAAAATAAGAAGGAAACCTGGGGTAAGTTTGTTACTCCCTTGGTGCATGCGTACAACTCAACTCGGAATTCCAGTACTGGATACTCGCCTTATTATATCATGTTCGGGCGAGAGGCAAGGCTGCCCCTTGATATTAGTTTTGGGACTACGCCCGACAGTGTCAACAATAAGGACCACACCAAATATGTATCTGAGCTCAGGCACAGCTTGGAAGATGCCTACAACTTGGCGGCAAAAGAGTCGGCCAAAGTGGCAGCAGCGAACAAACAACGCTATGACCTAAAAGTGAGGGGCAGTGAGTTACAGCCTGGCGACAGAGTACTTGTTCGCAATGTCGGTTTCAAGGGTCCTCACAAGCTAGCTGATAGGTGGAGTGACACTGTGTACTGTGTTGTGGGTCGCCCAAGTGACAGTATACCAGTTTACAGAGTGAAGCCAGAGACTGGGGATGGTGCAGTAAAAACACTGCATCGCAATATGTTGCTACCCATCGGAACTCTAACTGGAGAGGACACTTCTCCATCGGTTACGAAACCCCCAGAGAAGCCAATGACAAGACAGCGAGCGAAGCAGAAATCTTCCTCATGCCTTCCGTCGTCCCCAGATGACGGTAGCGACAGTGATGATTATGGCTCTGACCATGAGGATCACAATATCATTACTATCTGGCCCCGTGACCAAGTTGACGTTTCGGTATCACCACTGCCTGTGGGTGATTACGAGGTGGAAAGAACTACAGAGGAACATCCGGATGAGCAGGACAGTGGGATTCTCACCGTACATGACACGGGACAGAGAGACATACCTCCTTGTCCAAACCAGTTGGATCCTGATGCTGAGGCATTTGTTCCCAGTCCATCTGGTTTAAAGGACATGTCCGTTGATCTTGGACCTGATAGGACATCATCACGAGAAAGTGGTGCAGAGCTCCCTCCCGATGACCTGAGTGAGACAAAGCTGCAACCTAAACCAGTAACCTGGGCTAGCAAATTACCAGATGAGTTTGGTAATCCAGATAACTGCCACTTGGAGGCAGAGCCTAGTATGATGGCTGAAGACAGCAACTTGCCACTATCGACAGACAAAAGTGCGACCCAGAGTGAGTGTCCCAGCCCTATACTCGATAGTCTTCCCGAAGCTGACGAACTGACACCCCAGTTCGGTAGCGAGGTAGACATCGGTGCCGAGGTTGAAGTTGGCACCTGTGGCTCTCCAGATGCAAGTAGTTTGCCTGAAGCAGAGGTTCCTGTACCAGGGATGTATATCCCTGCTGGGGATCTCTCTAGGGAAACTGCTACTACAGGACCCGGCAGTGAGAGTGAGGTGAATGGGTCCCGACCCTCAAGAGAGCGGAGACCCCCAAGGCGGTTCACTTACGAAGTGCTTGGCCAGCCAGTGACTCATCAGTTGCAGGCAGGTGTTTGGAGTCACTGGATCCCAGAATTTATTATTCCTACGTTCCTCACTGCAAGGAAGAGTTGCATCGGGACGCTGCAACACGTTTAGGAGGGGGGATGTGTAGCCCGTGCGGTACGCTGAAGT